TGTCGTCACTTCCGGCCGCGCTTTGCTCCTCCCACAAAGGAGCCCTTCCTGGGTGCATGGTGGCGCCAGGCTCCTGACCCTTTCTGTGGGAGGGAGACTCGTGGTCAGCTCCTTTTGCTTCACTGATACAGGTTCGTTGTCAGGTTCCTGTTCCTGGTGGTCCGTGTTTGTTACATAAAATTGGTAACTGACAGCAGAGTCGACATTTCCACCTCACACGCCCAGCTGCGTCTCCCCTAGTTCTCATTGATGTGGTTGTGGCTTTCTTTTCCCAGATTAAAGAAACTGGTGCTAACCTCGCTATTTGCCAATGGGGCTTTGACGATGAAGCGAATCATCTCCTCCTTCAGAACAGCCTGCCTGCGGTTCGCTGGGTGGGAGGCCCCGAGATTGAGGTAGGAGCCGAGCGTGGGCCTTTGGGGGAGCGTGCCCTCAGTGAGCGGGGTGGGGCCTGTGCAGCAGGGCTGTGTTCACAGGTTTCGGCACATCCCACTGAGCTCCCAGCGGGGAAGCCCTGGTCGCCGCCCCAAAGTGCCCACTCTGCCCACCTGCCAGGCCCTGAGCCCCAAGCCTGGGATGTTTGCCCAAGTGTCGTCGGGGTGGTGAGCGCCGCCATCCTGGATGGCGGAACACGTCTGGGGCCTGCCTCTGGAAGTTCACGGGTCCCGTCTTTGTCCTCCTGACCCACCCACTTAGCTGATTGCCATCGCGACAGGAGGCCGGATTGTCCCTCGGTTCTCAGAGCTCACCGCGGAGAAGCTGGGCTTTGCCGGGCTGGTGCAGGAGATCTCGTTTGGCACCACAAAGGACAAAATGCTGGTCATCGAGCAGTGCAAGAACTCCAGGGCCGTCACCATCTTCATCAGGGGTGGCAATAAGATGGTGAGGACTCACTTCCATAATGAGTTTAACTCAGATACAGTTAACCACTAAAAATGTTTCTCAGAGAGTGATGGACGTGCCATGGTGTGCAGTTGTCAGTTTTCTGCTGTCCCTTAGAAACAAGAAACTCAGGTGAATAAATAACAGTGACGATCTCCATGTTCCTGTAGAAACGAAGTGTAGCGCAATGGTTACCACAGTTGCTGCAGGGCATTCGTGTGCGGCTCCTCGGCCAAGCCCAGGCCCTGTGGGGCATCAAGGAGAGTTCGTACCCAGCAGGCTTCCACGGAACTGGAGCTGTGAGGGTTAGGCCCTGAGCAGGTCCGGATCACATTAATCTCTCTCCACTTCTCCTTAGATCATTGAGGAGGCCAAACGATCCCTTCACGACGCTCTGTGTGTCATCCGGAACCTCATCCGGGACAACCGTGTGGTGTACGGAGGAGGCGCCGCGGAGATTTCTTGCGCCCTGGCCGTGAGCCAGGAGGCAGACAAGGTGAGAGGCGCAGGGGGCTTGGGAGCCCAGGGTGGGCAGTGTGGGAGACAGCAGGCCCAGCGGGGTACCCAGCGTCTAGCTGTGCCTACCCATCTCCCTCACGGGCCTGCCATGACCTCTGCGGCTCAGTCCCAGTCGTAACTCAGGGTGTGAGCACTGCTCTGCCTCAGTCGCCTCAGGCATGGTGCTTTCACCCCGTCTCTATTCTCTGGTGACCTTTTACTACTTCCATAAGTTAAAAATGGAACAGCTTGGCCGGGGATTTAGCTCAGTGGTTTCGACCCTACTGCGCAAGCGCAAGGACCTGAGTTCAATCCCCGGTACCAAAATACACACACACACACACATATATATATATATATATATATATGGAGCAGCTCATTCCTGGGCCCTGTTTGAGTTAGCCTCTCGCAGGAGGTCTTTCGGGTGTTTGCCACTGCCGGGTGTGGCCCTGCTGGCTCACTCCCTGTCCCCGCAGTGCCCGACCCTGGAGCAGTACGCAATGCGGGCCTTCGCAGATGCGCTGGAGGTCATCCCCATGGCCCTGGCAGAGAACAGCGGCATGAACCCCATCCAGACCATGACCGAGGTCCGTGCACGGCAGGTGAAGGAGGCCAACCCCGCCCTGGGGATCGACTGCCTGCACCGGGGTACCAACGGTGAGAGTGCCCGGACTGATCCCCAGCGGCCGGTTTCCCTAACACACAGCGTCCATCTCAGTACCTGGGAGCATCGATGCAGCATTGCCTAAGAGGACAGGTTCTACCTCTGGCTTTAGAAAGTAATTTGGTCAGAGTCGGATTCCACATAGAGCAGCTCCGAGGTGGACTCGCTTGCCACCGACCGTGGCTGTCGGGAGAGCTTTAGCTGTGAGGGCTTTGGTCCGGGGCTTCTGTGAGCACGAGGCCAGATCCGAGTTCTGGAGTCTGTGGGGCGTGTGCGTGTGTGTGTCTGTGTGTCTGTGTGTCTGACCCGCACCACCCCCCCCCCGACAGTTTCATCATTACCTAGAGGTGCAGGTGTGCCCTGTTCATGCTCACAGCCACGGTGGGCTGCTGGGACTCTCACACAAGTGGGCCAAGGTAGCAGCAGGGATGCCCTTGCCTCTTCCATCTCGGGCACCTCCCACAGCCCACCCTGTGTGGGTGCGCTGTCCCTCGTGCTTCTCCATGTACGCTGGCCCTTGTCAAGGACAGCAGAGGAGCTCCATTAGCCGGATTGAAACCCAGGACATTCGTCTGAGAAAGACCCAGGCTGGGATGGCGGCCACAGTGCCGGGTCTGGAGGGGCTCTGGCTGCGCTGCTCAGGCCTTGCACTTCTGGGCCCCGGAGCTCCTGCAGCTGGGGAGGGCTGCAGGCCCACAGCACCGCACTCAGCTCTGTTTTTCAGTTTTACTGGGGTTCTGCAAGCGGAAGCCATTTATTGATACTGAATGTGTGTTCTGTTTTAGGATAATTTACTTGTGTTTTTCAGATATGAAGCAACAACATGTCATAGAAACCTTGATTGGCAAAAAGCAACAGATATCTCTCGCAACGCAAATGGTTAGGATGATTTTGAAGATTGACGACATCCGTAAGCCTGGAGAATCTGAAGAGTGAAGAGAAATTCAGAATCCAACGCAGCAGCGAGATCCATTACTTGATGAAATATATGGGAGTCTTGCGGTGCGTCGGCAGTTATTTATTACTAGGCCCTTTTCCAGATGCCGTCGACGCTGTGACAGAAGTAGCTGTTTGGTAGCTGTGCTTTCACTTGTGCAGAGCTGTGATTGCAGGGTGCGTCCCACAGGCTTTTGTATTCATTAAAGCGGTCTCTAACCCTTTCTCTTCAAGTCTGAGCCGTGTTCCTTGTCGCGCTAATTAAATGCTGCCTTCTTTGAAGGGCTTTGACTCAGCGTTTTTCAAAATAAGCAGTAGGAGCTTTTTCAGCCTCTTAAATATTTGTTCTGAGGACTCGTGTCAGCCCGGAGGAGCACAGGCCTGGTCCTGTCCCCGCGGGCTGCAGGTCTCCATGCTGTAGCCAGGTTGCCTGCTGCTGACAACAGCACACGGACTTCGCCTCACGCCCTCCTTCTCGTCTCCCCACCACAGCCAGTCCTGGGGTGACCCAGGCCTGGGCAGAGTGGAGGGGACACTTGAGCAGTAGGGAGGCAGGGCTTGGGTTCCACTCCGCCTCTGGTGCTAGCTGGGACCGCGTTCGGCAGGGCGCCTGTCAGCTGTCAAGGCTTTGGTGACCTGCTCCGCCCTGTGGGGCTCCCCGGCTTCTCTGAGTGGTTTGCTGGTCCCCAACTCCAGGGCGCCCTGTGCTGCTGTGAGGGGCTGCAGTGGCCCGCTCTGTCCCTGGCAGCCTGCGCTCTGGATGATGGGGCCGTGGGCACTGGCTGCAGCCTCGGGCCAGCTGAGCCAGGTTTGGCCTCAGTCACCCGGGCCCTGCCCCCTGCCCCTGGGCATCTCCGGAGGCCGGGGAGGGAGCGGGTGTCACAGCAGCCCTCTCAGGCAGCAGCAGACCAGGTTGGGGGAGCGTGACTCGTTACTCTCACGGCGTTTCTCATTAGATGTGGAAACCGAGCTCGGCAGTCAGGTGTCGTGAGCTGCAAGTCTGACGCTCCCCAGCCACCGAAGCTGGGCACAGCCGCCATCTCCCAGGGCTCCATGCCCGTCCCCCAGGGAGGTCCGGGGTCCAAACGCCTGTGCTATGCGGCCCCTCGGGGACAGCCCTCTCCTGGGATGGCCCCCTACACCCTGCATGGGCTGCAGGCACCACAGCGACCGGGTCGAGCAGTGTGACCCAAACAGCTGGCACCTGCTTGCCCTAACTCGTTACAGCCCTGTCGGTGCAGGAAGCCAGCTGCGGTGATGCCCTGCACCCCAGGAAAGGCTTCCACCCAGAGCCTCCGTTATTCCCACAACCTTCTGACGCCTGGTAACAGTCCTCCCGCTCGGCTCCCAGGGGGAAGGCTGTCAGAGCAGCACGGGTGCCCAGGACACCTGCCGGCACACAGGTCGCTGTGGAGGGGACCCATCACGTGCTCTGCATTAGGCTGCCCGACACAGGCATCCCATGTGCTGGGTGCAGTGGTGTAACCTGTGGTCCTGCTACTTAGGAGGCCGAGGCAGGAGAATCACTTGAGCCCAGGAAATTCAAGGTCAGCTTGGGCAACTCAGCAAGACTGTCTCCAAGAGCAAACAGAAAGTATCCTGGAAGAGCACACTACACACCGGTGGCCAAACCGCCTGGAGACCCTTGGAGCAGGGCTGCAGGACGCCACAGAACCGACTTAGAGGGGGAGCAGGGCACAGTGCTTCCAGCCAGAAACCCCGGCCACTCAGCAGCCTGAAGCAGGAGGATGGGTTCAAGGCTGGTCTGGGCGCCTTCGCAAGCCTGGCTCAAAATGACAACGGCTGGGGGCGTAGCACGGTGTAGAGCTCCTGGGTTCCCTCCCCAGGGCCACAGGACACCACGCCCCACGCCCTGCAGCAGGGGCCTCGCCCTCCACCACCACCTGGCGGGCAGCACCCAGCCTGGCGCCCAGAGCCAGTGTGGGGTACGGGATGACAGCAGGGTGGTAACTGCCCGCCCTCCTATGCTAGATTAAGGGGAAAAACTACAAGAAACCAATTTATTATCTGATACAATTAGGTCAACAGAAACTTTATTTCAGCATTAGGCAGATGTGAGAAATGTGGCTCTCAGGACAAAGACCAACAGCTCACTGTGGTTAGTCCACCCGGGTTCCTGCTCGTCACAGTGGCGACACCATAGGCTACGTGGAGCTGTCAGCCGCCCCAGCAGCCCTGGGCCTCTCCCTCCTGCCCTCTTAGCTATTTTTTTAATTTTCATTGATATACATGTCCAAGATTATTTCCATACATTAAAATTTTCTCCTGAATTGGTTTCAGATGAAATTAATTTCAGCATCCTCACATTTATCTTTTTAAGTAAAAAATCAAATGACCGAAGGACTTCTGGGCAGATTTTGAATGAAGCAAGTGTGAGTAGTCAGCCTGCTGGCTGCTACACGAACTTGTTCAGCCACTCCACCAGGTTCCTCCTGGCCTCGTCGATGTAGGGCTTGTCTGCCGGCTGGCAGTCTTCCCTCTTCCGGTGCACAAAGCCATGAGTCTGCCCCGTGAAGGTTTTCACCTGGTGCTCAACCTTGCAGTGTTCCTTCAACTTCTGGGTCAGCAAAGAGACCTGATGTGCACAAGAACTGATGATAGGATTTTAACCCTTAGCAATATTCCCCATTCTCTTAAGTCTTCAGTGGGTGTTCACGAAAGAAACTCAATATCTGCTGTATAGACACACTTCACGGCTGTACCGAATCCTTTTTTTTTTTTTTGTACCAGGGATCGAACTCGGCACCTTGCGCTTGCACAGCAGGCAGCAAAACCACTGAGCTAAATCCCCAGCCCCGAATTCTTATAACAGTTCTTAGCACTGACAAAGGTGATTTCAGAGCAATATAAGAATGATACAACAGCAATTCAGCTGCTCCTACACCTACGGCGGGGTGTCCAGGTAACCTATCATGAGTTGAAAATAGTGAAGATCAAAACTCCATTGAGGGGTTTGGAGACACAGCTCGGCTGCACAGAGGTGGCTTCGAATTCACGAGCCCTGAGCAAAGCTCCCAAAATCACCAGAAGAAAGAAAATGCGCTTCTGGTCATGGTGGTGCCCTCCTGTAATTCCTGCACTTTGGGAGGCTGAGGCCCAGCCCAGCCTGAGCAACTTAGCAAGACAGTCTCCAAAAACTAAATAAGTAAAACAACAGCAGATGTAGCTCAGCACCCACAGGGTTCGATCCCCAGGACCTGCAGAATGAATATGAAGACACACTGAATTCCCAGTGACCTGGGGGCACCCGAGCCCAGCGGCCCAGCGTGCTGAGCGCTGCCCGCCCCTGAGTGTCCTGGCCTAAGTGAATGGGAGCAGTGGCTTTGAGACTGGGGGAAAGAGGCAGTTTTCCCTGAATGTGGATTTCACACCACCTTCAAGGTCGGAAAGTCTTCCTTCAGGCCACTGCAAGTCCCCCTAAGCTCACCCATGTCAATACACTAGCATCTTGGTACTGGTACCCATGTCCCGAGGACTGCTTCCTTTCTTTGAGCTCCTGGGGAATGGGCCCGGGGGCTCCCACACTGAGCTACTTCCCAGGCTCTTCTTGCTTTCTTAAGATGGGCTCTCACTGAACGGCCCACCCGGCCTCCCCAGGAGCCAGGGTTACAGGTGAGCACCGCTGGCTGGGCCCAGTGACTGCCTCTTTGTGACAGGGTCTCACTGTGTAGTTCAGGCTGGCCGCCAATGTGCAGTGATCCTCCCGCCCAGCCTCCCGGTCCTGGGGTGACAGGCGTGAGCCACCACACCTGGCTCGTGTCTAAAATGTCAACACTAGAAAACAATCAGAGTGATAAATCAATCCTTTGGGGCTTCTTCCCCAAAACTGCCGAGCGGTATTAGGCAAACGAGCAGAGGAAAGCTGTACCTACCTGCTCAAGGGAAATCACGAAGTCATTCTCAGCAAAAATGAACAGCGTGGGGTTCTTTAAGTCATAAACGTCTTCGGAGTCCTTGACGATGCCTGAAAAGAGAGTTCGGGCTCACACCTGGTGGTTCGATCAGTATGGGCAGCCGTGGGCAAGGGCTGGGCCCCACGGGCATCCTTCTCAGGGTCATAGACAATCAGGCAGTGGGTTGCAAGGTAAGAACAGTGCAGGAAAATACCACGCCACAGCAAGCTAAGATCCCTCCTCTCCAGGAGACAGGGAGCCCGAGAAGACTGCCCCGCGCCCGCTCTGGCACGCGTGCAGGGACAGGGCGCCCCGCCCGCCTGAGTCCTGAGAGCTCTGCAGCGCGTACTGCACGGCCGCGCCAGCAGGTGGCACCACTGCGGCGCCCGCCCAAGACCCAGGCCAAGGACCCGCGGTTACAGGGTTTATTTGCTGTTGTGCAAGTAAATATTTAACAGGGTTTTTAAAAGCTAAAAGTAGGCGAAGGTACCACAGAGAGAAATCATTAAGCTAAATAAGCATCATGGTACTGCACGTTTACTCCTAAAAGTAAAAATTAAACTTATCGGTGTAGAGGGTAAAGACACGGATGGCATATTTGCCAAAGGCACTTCTTTAATGGTGATTGCAAAGTTATGCTTAGCATTAATTTTTGTACGTGTTGCCTTAAAACACTGAGTTTGAAATAAATACTAAACTGAGTACAGTGCAGTCATAAATAAATAAGCATGATATGTGCTTTGTAATATAAAATTTTATGAACCGGCATGGTGGTGCACGCCTATAATCTCACCACTCAGGAGGCTGAGGCAGGAGGGTCGCCGTGAGTTGGAGACCAGCCTGGGTTACATAGTGGGTTCAAGGTCAGCCTGAACTACATAGTGAGACCCTACTTCAATCCCCCCCCCCAAAAAAAACCAAAAACTTCATGACATATCAGTACAAGAGCCTCAGGAGATTCCTGGAATGCCCCGTGTGGCCTTTCTATAGCAGCGAACGTCCTTGGGTCCCTGCCGGCCTCTGCTGCACCGTGAGCGCTGCTGCCCCTCCCTGGGGCTCCCCGCCCCTCCCCTCCCCTCCCTGTGTGTGCGCGTGCGCGGTGTAGCATTCTGGCCTGGAAAAATGTTTGCTCAGCTGTGGATGTGAAGGAGCTCGGGGAGAGGCCACCTGCGCGCCGGCGGAGGACACGGAGAACGAAGGCCCGGGCCTGCCCAAGCTCCAGCCCGACCTTGGCCCTGGGCTGGGCCCCGCCCCTGCACTCACCGTAGAGGGACACCCCCGCCCTGATCTGCGGGTACTTGGTCATCACGTGGTGCACCACGGTGCCGCCCCAGCAGAAGCCCACGATGCCCACCCTCTGGGCTCCGCACTGCTGTGTCAGGTACCGAAGGACAGCCTCCACCTCCCTACGACAGAAAGACGCGCTCAGGCATCCAGGGGCCTTAATAAAAACCCCAAAAGGGTGGTGCTAGCCCAGAGTGGTTAGCTGATAGTCCCAGCACTCAAGAGGCTGAGGCAGGGGATTGCCATGAGTTCAAGGCCAGCCTGGGATACATGGCAAGATCCTGTCTCAAAAAACCAAAAACTAAAAAAGTAGAACCCTATAAAAAAGTAAAAACCCTATAACAACTTTCTTTTAATCATAACATATTTGTGTGCATTTAAACAAATACATCATGCCACTATGCAGAAGCAGTTATTTCCATAAAGATATAAAAGCAGTGATTAACCCAAGCATGGTGCACACACTTGTATCCCAGCACTCTGGGAGGCTGAGGCAGGAGGATCACAAGTTCAAACCCAGCCTGGGCAATTTAGCAACTCAGTGAAATCCTGTCTCAAAATAAATTTAAAAAGGACTAGGAATGTAGCTGTTATGGCTTGCATCTGGATGTTTCCCCAAAGCCTCATGAGCTCATAGGTGGAGCTTTTTGGAGGTGGTCGGATCATGGGTGTGTGATACTGGGTTAAAGGTGTGTGATACTGGATTAGTCCAGACTAGAATTAGTATAGTTCTGGTGTGGCCAAATGGATTTACTGAAGACAGAAGCCCACCCTGGGTGTGGGTGACACCACCCATAGGCTTGTAGCCTTGATGGAATTAAAGGAAAAGTGGGCAGCTGCTGGCTGCTGCTGCTGCCGCCTCCGCCTCCAGCCTGCCTGCCTGCCGTTTCTCCTCTGTGATGCCCCTCTGCCATGTCGCCAGCTGACTGTGGACTGAAACTGAGCTAAAATGAACCTTTCCTCCTTTGACCTGTGGTGGTCTGGTATTTTGTCTCAGTAATGAGGAAGTAACTAAGACATCTCAGTGCAAAGTTCCTGAGTTCAATCCTCAATACCACCAAAAAAAGAAAGGCAGTGATTCAATCTTTAAAATATAATGTCATGAACAGTAGTTTGGGCCATTTTGGTTTTGAATTTTTCTTGGCTACAGGGAATAACTGCTTTACTTGGGAGGGCCAAGAAGGAAGATGACATTTCTATAAAAATTCTTGGACTTGAGGGACAGCAGGTTGCATTTGTGCTCAGGTCTGCTCCCCATTTTCTGGGTGCACCAGACTCCAGCCCCAGATGCCCCTCCCCAGCCACCTCATCTGGGGGGCTTCATCCTTGGCTGCTGGAGTTGAGCGTCTGGCTCAGGCCTGGCCAATCAAGGCAGAGCAATCTCCTGACCACAGGGATTGGTTCCAGGAGGGCCTTCTGAACCAATCAGAATTAAGGGGATAAAAATGAGACCTGCTGGGTTGTGAGAGAGCTAATGGAGGGCAGGAGCCCCTGCAGCCATCTTGCCACCTGAAGTAATTGACAGATGCCTGAGAATGAAGCCAGCACAGAGGAAGTGGAGCCAAGTGAGGTGGGAGAATGAGTTCTGGGATTAGCTCCAGCCATGCACCAAGACTTAGTGAAGCCAGAAGTGGCCTCTTTCATTCTACGAACCAGTAGCTCTCTGGACACAGTAAGCATCCAGGATGGGTCCCTGCCATTGGCAGACACCCTGCCACTCCTCACTCACTTGGCCTTGCTGCAGGACCTGGCTGGGCCCAGGTGAAGCCCCCTCATGGACAGGGTGACATGGAAGGGCAAGTGTCCCTGTGGGGCGGCCCCACCCTCCTGCGGGCTGTGACTTACTTATCCACCTTCCTGGCATCTCTGGACTTCAACCACTCGGGGAAGGTTTTCATCTCCCATGAGGGGTTCCACGGCTCCTTCCCCACGAAGAAGTCCGGGACTATGGTTCTGGAAAGCACAGGGTTAGCAGATTTTCATTGCCGGCTGGGCGTTTGTGTGCATTTGTTAAGGAATCAGTAGGGTGGCAACCTGGGTCCTGGAGCAGGGGCACAGCAGCTCTCAGTCATGGCTGCCTGCAGCTGGCGCATGGCCAGAGGGCAGGATGGCACAAGTGCAGGTGCTCGGCCTTCAGTGGCCTGGGTGTAACCGGGTCAGGGTCAGACAGGGCCATGGGTGTGGGGCCAGGGCCGTGAGACCCTCCAGCCGGGTTTGAGTTTGATGGCCACGAGGGTCCCTGCTGTCCCTAGAGCCTCACACCTTGTCAGCCTCAGGCAGGGCACACCTGGGCAGCAGGGCCCGTCACCGTGATCCAGTCACCATGACTCAGCGATTTCCTAGTCTCTGCCCAGAGGGCAAGGTCCACGGCAGGCTCCAGCCACACCCAGGACACCTGCCACACCCAGGACACAGATTGGGGAGCCCAGGTCGTCCTCCCCCGAGCCAGGTCAGGTTACCACTGCACAAAGCTGCCGCCAGAACCTGGGTCAGAAAGACAAGTTCCAGGCTCTCCCCGAGCTGCACTTGGTCACTTTTAGCCTTTTTTGGATTTTTTGGCAGTGCTGGGGATCAAACTGAGGGCCTTGTGCAGCCAAGCAAGTGCTCTACCACACGATGTGATTGAAAATTACGATGAATACTTAAATTTCAAAATATGCATTAGAGTAAAAGGCACATTTCTGTGAACCCCCGCTCAAAATCCTCCCCCTCGCTTAGAACACACCCCATCGCTCTTGCCACTGAGGCAGGGCTGCAAGTGCTAGTGTCTTCAGTTGTGCTGCCGTAGCTGCCTCGCTGTCCTGCATCCACTCAAAGCCTTGACCTTTCACGGCCATTTTGACTTTGAGGAAGAGCTACGCATCTCCAGTGACGGATCCCGTGAATCAGGTGGATGAGGACACGCCATGACACCGCACAAGCCGCCTTTCTGACAGATGCGGCTCGGCAGCAGCGTTCACTGTATTTTGGATCACCCCCAGAAATGCTGCAGAAAGTGTGTAAGCGAGGGGAGGGCTGTGACAGGGATTCACAGCATCGTGTTTTGTATTGAAACAGCCCGCGTAGCTCGCAGCTCGGTCACACCTAGGGTGTCCCAGCCCCAGCCTCACCCTCAGGGCTGGATAAACAGCACCCTGCAGCGTCCAGCCTCGAGGCTCAGCGCGAGGGTGACAGGGGGCGAGCGACCTGCGCCGCCCTGGTGCTGCGCAGGGCACACGGAGAGGCGACGCGAGCTCGCAGCCAGGTGACGGGGAAGCCCTGCAGCTGAGGAGCCCGTTCTTAAGCCCTGGCTGAGGCCTGCAGCCTGGCCAGAGCCGGCGGGGCGGGCCAGGGGCTCATCCCTGGGCGTGTGCTCAAAGCTAGACTCCCGGTCCCCTGGAGGGGTCTGGGGGCTGCAACTGGGGGCCGCCCGCCGAGGCCAAGTTTGCGTGGAGCCACAGCGGGTGCAAGTCCTTCCCTCGGCTTCTCTTCCAAGGAGACGGAGGGAGCCGGGCACCCTCAGGCTTCCGGGAGCTCCTTCCGAGAAAAACAGAAACCGGGGGTGCGGCTGCTGGGGCTGAAGCTTTCTGAGGCTGGAGAGGAGGAAGGTTCTGTGCGTGTGCACCTCCCTGCCTCACTAAAGCTCTACCCCCAGGGGCCAGCGAGCAGCAAGGCCACCTGATTGGGCAGAAGCGCACCCCTTAGGGGATGAGCGAGGCCTCGCTGTGGTTCCCAGACATCTAATCTCCCAGGCCGTGACCCACAATGCCCCGCGGGCCGCCTCACCGTGATTCCCGGTTGTGTAATCTTGCGGGCCGTGACCCATAATGCACCGCGGGCCAAGCAGGCCCTGGAGCCCGAGTGGCGCCAGGTGCGGGGCCAGCTCAGCACTCAGCAGCACCTCGTGTCTGCTCATGGCGCCCCGTACGGTTACAGAGGCCCGAACAGGGAGAGGAATTGTTGTCCCCCAGGCCTGCAGGAACCCCCAGGAGGACCTGAAGTCCCGAGATCCGGAGGGGTGGGTGTGGCACTTCACACGGCAATCCCGTCACCTTCACACAGGGAGGTACGGAGGGATCCGGTGTGAACCCGAGTACAGCCAGGCTGGCGTGTCTGTCTGTCTGTCTGTCTTCCTTTGTGAATAGCACAGTCAGGATTTTTTGTTTGTTTGTGAAAGGAACCCCAGAAACGCACACGAGTTTAGGCAAGGAAAGCCTTCCTACGTACGTGTATCCATTTCCTGCGATCAGGTCGGCCATGTACCAGGTGTTGGGCAGCTTCCAGCCAAATATGTCCTGCACGACAATGATGGCCTTGCCTGTGTCGGCACGGGGCCTGGTGACATAAGCCCTGATGTGCTCCACCTGCACCTCGTGGCCCATCCCTCCATACTCCAGCCTGTGGCCAATGTCGCACGGACAAGGGCTCGCCTCGTTGGCCATTGGAGATCCTGAAGTCGGTTGGGCTGGGAGAGAGGAACACAGGTCATTCGGAATGCCGCGGGTCTGCAGGTCACAGAGCTGGTACACTGTAATCAGACTCCTGGAAGAAGGTTCATTTCAACCCCGTCTGTGGCACTTATTAGATGAAAATTGATAATTCCGGTTCTGGAAGCATCAAAGATTAAAGCGAATGAGGACCTGTTCCCATCTCAAACACTGGAAATGCAGATTGAATATAACCAATGAAGAACAATAGAAATGGCAGTGGTAGCTCTTATAGGAAAAGGGACACACATACCCCCAGCCCTGCCAGGGGCCCAGGGCCAGAGGGGAAGCTGGCACCTGGACGAGGAGATGACAAGAGACCAGTGATGTCCTGACGTCCGGGACAGGTCCAGACCCAGGGGCACGTCTGACAGCGGGGCTCTGGTTTTGAGTCCAGTGAGGCCCTGGGGCCACGTTCACCAGGGATTGGCAATGAGGCTGTCTCTGCCTGTTGAGCTCCCAGAAGGTCACATCTGGGGCTGGGGGCAAAACAAGAGAAGGAAAGCTGTGTCACCCAGGCTCAGACATCCCCAGAAGCTCTCCTCACCCTAAGTCCTGAGTGAGACAGAAAAAGAAGCCCGTGCCGAGTTTACACTGTGCTCCCAAAGCAGGAACACCTAGGCTGAGACATTGGCATAACAACTGACCCTGGGCCAAGGAACCCGAAAACACCAGACTCCACACCAGCCCCAAAAGGTCGCCTGGCCAGGAGGTCACTCTGAAATCAAAAGTGACTTTGATCACCACGTAATAGAGCAAACAATCATCGCAGACACAGCCATGGAGCAAAAGTCAGGTGAGAGCTGCTTTGACTCAAGGGCAGGCCTGCAAAGTCTCCATCAAAGCAGAAAGCGGGAAGAAAAGAATCTAAAACCTGTTAACTGCAAAGCATGAGCCCTCCCACAGAAATACTGAAATAAACCCAGGTAGATGGGAAGAGCTCAAACTCACTCATTGATACCGATTCTCAAATTAGATGGTTTATAACACTAGGGTTCTATCTAAGCGGGAAGGGTATAGCTGTGAATGTACACATAAAAGGAGTAATCTCAGATAATGGAAAGATGCATCTCAAGGCCCTAGAAACACAAGGATAATGCAAATCAGAAACTATTAGAAAGAAAGAATGAAGTCAGAGCAGAAATTAATGAAATGGGGATTAAAATAACAGCACAGAGGCCCAGCGACCCAAAGGACTGGTTATGTGAAAGGATGGAAAGGGGCTCGGAATGGGGAGACAAAAATGATCAAGATGCAACCCGTGTGTGTGCTAGTTCCCCATGTGAACGTGTTCACTGTGCAGCACCGACATGTATGGATACAAAAAGCAAAGGGAACGTGGTAAAAGAGTTAGGGTTCCTTCCCTCAGAAACTGGGAACACTGAGCCAAAGATGTAGGTGGGTCCCTTCATTAACAAGTAGCAAGTAGAGGCTTCCAAGCAGGTGTGAAGAGCTGCCAACCTCCCTGAATACTGACTGTGATGGTTTATATCCCAGTGTCCCCCCAAAGCCTCATGTGCTCATAGCGGGGCTTTTGAAAGGTGATTGCATTATGGGAGCTCATAATTGGCTTGCCGTTAGGAGGTGAAGCCTGTTTGGAAGAGTTGAGTCACTGGGGGCGTGGCCTGGAAGGATTTATTTCCCACCTCCCTTTTCTCTGTCTGCTCCCCACTACCCAGCCATGGACCGTTTCTCCTCTGCGATGCCCCCTGCCAGGCCACCCTGCCTTGAAGCCAGCCAACTGTGGACTGAGACCTCCACACACTGTGCGACGAATCAACCTCTCCTCTAACTTGTGGGTTTTGGTATTGTGTCCCAGTGACAAGGAAAATGACTAAGGCACAGGGTCTGGGATTTGGCTCAGTGGTTCACCACCTGCCTCACAAGCGCAAGGTCCTGAGTTCAATCTCCGGTACCAGAGAAAGAAAAGAAAAGAACTAAGGCACTAACTCACAATGCAAGTTTCAATGACAATTTTGCTTTTGTTTCTGTATTTTTTGTGGTGCTAAGTATTGAATTCAAGACCTCACACATGTTAGGCAAGCACTGTACCCCTGATCTACACCCCAGCCCCTAAGAGAGATTTTATATAAAAGATGTTATAGCTGGGGATTTCTCTCAGTGGTTCCGGCGCCTGCCTCGAAAGCGCGAGGTCCCAATTTTGATCCCTAGTACCAAAAACAAAACCAATATAAAAGATATTATATAAGTATAATAAAGTTATGATAAAAACTCAAAAGATTTAGAACGGAATTACAATTTTAAAATTATAGCAAGAGTTGATATAATCGGTGCACTAGAATGTAGAGAAGTCTTTACAGCCTAGATTGCATATTGTAGCCAAGAGGAAAGAATGAAATAAGCATCAAGAAGTTAGAAGGACACCAAGCATGGTGGTGCATGCCTGCAATCTCAGCACTTGGAAAGCTGAGGCAGGAGGATTGCTACGATTTCGAGGCCAGCCTGGACTACACAGACCCTGTCTCAAAAAACAAACAAACAAAGAAGTTAGAGGGGAAAGAAACAGGATAAACCCCATCTTAGTCCATTCTGGCTGCTGTAATGAAACAGCATAAGCTGAGCAGCTCACAAACAACACATATTTATTTCTCTCATTCTGGAGGCTGAGAAGCCCAAGATTCTGGGTCTGCTGAGCCACTTAGGGTCCCAGGGGGTGCCCTCTTCCTGTGTCCTTGCCTGGAGAAGGACCATACAGCACCTGAAATCTCCTTCGTGCGGACACTGGTCCCAGGCTGACAGCTCTGCTCTGGTGACCTCTCAACTCCTCGAGTCAGGGTCCCCACATATACATTCTGGGGAGGACAAACGCTTGGGGCGTTGCAAACCCAAAAAGGCAAATATAAGGAAGTGAAAATAAACAGTAGAGAAAATCCCAAAAGATTAAAATCTGATTCCTTGAAGAGTTATAAAATACGCATACCTCCAGGAAAACTGGAAACAAAGATAAACACACACAACAGTAAAACAATCTCTGGAATGAAAAGGTGACATAAAGATGTTGGCTGAGGCAGGAGGATTGTCTCAAATTCAAAGCCAGCTGGGGGAAAAAAAAAGCCAGCTGGGTTACACAGTGAGTTTACGGCCAGCCTCAACTTCATAGGGAGACCCTGTCTCAAAAAAAAATTTTTTTTCTCTCTCTGTAAGGGGCTAGGGTGTAGGGCAGTGGTAGAGCACATGGCTGGCATTCAGGAGGCCCTGGGTTCAACCCCTAGCCTGCAAAACAAAAACAAACTCCAAATACCATAAGAAAGTATGAACAACTGACTGTATGCCAATAAGTTTGAAAACACACAAAATTCACAAACTGGTAGAATAGTGAAAGGAATGTTTCTCAACTGGTCTATGTGCCTAACTTCAAAATTCAGTGTAAAAGGGGGCCAGGGATTTAGCCCAGTGACACCTCACCGGCCTTGCAAGCACAAGGTCCTGAGTTCGATCCCCAGTACCAGGGAAAAAAAATTCAATGTAAAAGGGAAAAAGGTAGCAAGACAAGTCTTAATGAAAAGAAACTAAAAAGAAATAAACCCAGTGATATGGGCTGAACTTTGATGAGGTCATAATTCAGAAAGAAGAGCTGATATGAGACATTTGAGAGACACCAGGCTGTGGACACGGTGACAGCTGCTGTTACACATCGATCGAGTTTTACAGTGGGATTAGAAGGCACTGACAGTGGTCCTTTCCAGACATGTACTGAAGTCCTGGGGGCCGGTGGACTGTAACAGCTGCAGTTCATCCTCAAATGGTTCATAAAATACACACAAGCACGACACACAGAGATTCAGAAAGCATACGGCAAACTGTCAGTAGCTGCAGAAGCCAGAGGGTCAGCATCTGAGTGTGAGCTGCACTATTCTTGCCATGTTTCTATATTTCAACATTTTCCATACAGAAAGTTGGAGTTGGGAATCTAACTGGCAAACTATTCACCAAACCAATAGATTACAACAAATGAAATATGACTACATCTTGGATATGAGAACTGAACAAAGCTAAGGTGGGAATGAAAAAGTTGAGTGACTCCCTTCCTTAGGAATTTAGGTACAAAAATCCAAAATGAAATGTGGACACACGGAATCTGGGATGCATTGTAAGAGGATCTGTCACCATGACATCAGGAATGAGGAGATGGCTGTTAGATATGCATGATGTAATCCACAGCGTTAAAAGATGAAATGGTGAGTTCACATCACCATAGCAACAGATGAGGAAAAGGCATCTGATAAAATGCAGCAGCTATTTTGGCTGAGTGTCCACATTCCTTTAAACCCCATAGGCTGAGCGAGGCGCGGGGGCTCACACTTGTAATTCCAGCACAGAGGGAGGCAGAGGCAGGAGGATCACAGGATCTAGCCCAGCCTAGACAACTTAGTGAGACCTTGGCTCACAATAAAAAGGGCTGGGGTTGTAGCTCCATGATGGAGCGTCCCTGGGTTCCGTCCCTACTACTGCAAAAATAATAATAAAATAGAATTGTGTGTTGAAGTCGTAACTCCCATTTGCAATTCTGTTTGTAGATAGGGGCTTCAGGAGGAGCTGAGGTAAAGTGACATCATACGGCGGGGCCTGATCCGATGACGCTGGTGTTCTTACAATTTTAGAAGAGACCCCAGCCGGCCCCCATCCCCTCGCCGCGTGCACACACACACTGCACCAATTCCATGCACAAACACAGTGAGAAGGTGCCCGTGTGTGTGTGTGCCTGTGCGTGTGTGTGCGCACACGTGTGCATGCACGCCTCGCACATGCGCATGGGCTAAGGCAGAAGCCCTGCATGATCAGGGAAAGCACACCCAATCCCTCCAGCAAACACCAAGCCTGCTCCAGGCAGGAAGACAAATACACCCTTTATCACTGTTGTCCCCAACTAAAGCAGCAGCCCACCGAGGAGAGTACTGGGCCGGGGATTTAGCTCAGTGGTTCCGCCGCCTGCCTCCCAAGCGCAAGGTCCTGAGTTCAAACTCCAGTACCAAAAAAAACCCTTTCAAGTAAATAAATTAATTAAATTTTTTTAAAGAATTTTGAAAAGAGAAAACATCATTACCCCTTGACTTATAGTTAGCTCTGAAGAAACTTCGAGGTTAAGTACATATAAAGAACAAACGGGGGGGACAAATCGAGGAGATTAGCAGGGTGCTGCACATAGGCTTAGAAAAGTCAGGAGCATTCTTACCCATGAGTGACAATCAGAAGATACAACCTCAATGGAACACCACCCAGAATAATTTGTTAGATGGGGTAATGCTAACAATGGATGTGTGAGCCCATTAACGGAGGCTTTTTAATACTAAGGACAAAAAAATGACCTCCGGAAATGAAGACAGGTATCATGCTAACTGATTAGTCATTAAAAAGTATCATAAAGATGACAATTTTTCAAATTCACCTCTAAGTTTAATGCAATACAACCAAAATTTCAACAAGGGTTTTCATGTTAAAATTAATTTTTTAAAAAGGATAAGAGACAAGAATAGTTGAGATAATGGAAAAAAATAAAAGAAGAGAACAATGGTCTTACTAGGAAACAAAAGCTATCAAAGTACTCTGGTAGTCAAGTATGGTGGCACATGCCTGTTAATCCCAGTGCTCTGGGAAGCTGAATCAGGAGGATCTCAAGTTTGAGGCCAGCTTGAGCAATTTAGCAACTCAAAAAGACAGTGTCTCAAAATTAAAAAATGAGAAGAACTGGGATGTAGCTCAAAGCAGAGGACTTGGGTTCAACCCCCAGAATGGGAAAAAAAAAAATAAAAAACTATGGTATTTCTCGAAGTACAGAAAAATAAATCAGTGGGACAGACCAAAGACTCCAGAAACAAATTCATACATCCACCCAGTCATTCAAAAACTACAGACTTCGGGACGACTTCGGCACAAACACCATGCAGGCTCTGGGGCAACAGCAGAGCCACACTGACAGGAATCTGGCCGTGGGTCTGTGGACCCCCGGATGGGGCGGACACAGGCCGAGGTGCTCAGGAGGAGGAGGACACGACCCGGGCAGCGGCGCCCAGCTGTTCCAGGTGGGTCTGTTTGCTCCCAGAACTGAGTTAACAGGGAGAGGGAGAGGGCTCCAGAGGGGACAAAGGACCTGGAGAGCATGCGCACCATGCAGGGAGAGCTGCAAGCCCTCCGGGCCGTTGTGGGACAGCACGGGACAGCAGGGGCGCACTGCACCAGCTGAGAAAACAAGGCCCAGAGGACCTCTTCTGCCTTGGCCTGCGGGCATGTCACCTGGGGCAGTTAGAAACCTGAGGCAGAGAAGCAAAACTAAGCTGCTCCGAGAAAACACAGCCCTTTCCTTCAACTGGGGATCATTTCTTAAAGGAGACCCAGATCACATATACCGTGAAGAAAATGGTTCATACATTTCATCTTCTTTTTAACCAACTGTAAAGGAACAAAATTGCACTTGGGAGGCTGAGGCAGGAAGATTACAAGTTGAAGCCTAGCATGGGTAATTTTGTGACTTAATGAGATCCTGCTTCAAAAAAAAAAATTTAAAGGGCTGGGGATTTAGCTCAGTGGTTTTGCTGCCTGCTGTGCAAGCACAAGGACCAAAGTCCAATCCCCGGTACCAAAAAAAAAAAAAATTTAAAAGCCCTGGGTTTAGCCCCCAATACACCAAAAAATAAAAGGTACATCTGAATGATTCATAAGTACATGAAAAGATGCCAAGCTTCACGGGTGGTTAAGGGAACTGTACTAGCAGTAATGGGGAAAAGCCATTGCACATCTGGACACTGGCTGGAAAGCCTGTTAACATGGAGAGAAAGTACGCGTGTAGGAAAGGGGTGTGCACTGGTAGAAACTCTGGAGAGCTGACTAGCAAGGCCCACCAAGTGACACAGGAAGGAGCCCACATGTCTCAGGCACTCCCACTTCTGGACAAGGTGCCTGACACCTGCAGCCTAAAAAAAGAGAGGGTTCATCTTACTCACAGTTTGGGGGATTCAGTCCATGGTTGCCTGTTCCAGGGCAGGAACGTCATGGCTGAAGGGCCTGGCGGAGCAAAGCTGCTTACTGCATGTTGGCTGGGAAACAGGGCAGGGGAGCAGTGCAGAGAGGAAGTGGACGCGGGGACCATGGGTGTGTGGTGAGAATGGAAGGATTTTCTCCATGGCCTTAATGGGGTGGCAGCAAGTGAAAGCAATGTAACTGACCATCAAAAGGGCAAGGGGTTACATTGTGATGTATTCATTCTTGTGGGTGGAACTGGGTTCTTTAAAAAAAAATATGTTCAAATCCTAACTCCGGTCCCTGTGAAGGTGACCTTAATTAAAAATAAGATCCTAGTTGAGGTTGGTTGCACATGCTTGTAATTCCAGCTACTTGGAATGCTGAGGCAGGAGAATTGCAAGTTAGAGCCCAGCCTAGGCATCTTAGTGGTTTTTTTTACTCTGGCTCAAGGTAAAAGACAAAAAACTATTTTAAAGGGCTGGGGATGTAGCTCAGTGTGAGCCCCTGGGTTCAATCAGTGCCACACACAAAAACGGAGGGAAAGGGTCTTTGTAAATGTATCCAGCTGGGATGAGATCAGCCAGGTGCAGTGTGGAACACCTGGAATTCCAGCATTTGGAGGCTGAGGCAGGAGGATCACCATGAGTTTGAGGCCAGCCTGGGCTACATAGTGAGTTCAAGGCCAGCCTGAACTAAATGGCAACACCCCGTCTCAAAAAAATTAAACCAAATATAGCATACACATTCCCTAAATAAATACACTATAGTAAAAGTGTGCATGGGAATGAAACCCAGCAGCTGTCAGGAAAGGAGGGAAATTGTTGGCTTGAATTGTTACTTTGTATTTCCTTACAAAGTTTCAACTTGGTACACAGGACCAAATGACGCTGTCTTTTAAATGCCCGGTGGGGGTGATAAAGGACTGCTGGATTATTTCCTGCATTTTACTGAATTGTCTTAGTGTTTCATCATGTTAGGTATTTCAGAGCCCCCACAGAGCAAGCCCCCTCCTCTCCTTTCCCTTTGCCCCACTCTGGCCACAAGGAACAGGGAACTTCCACATAGCTAAGGCCTGACCTCCCTTTGGTAGTGACTTTCTGCCTAGTTAAGGTCTTTCTGCCCCACCGGTTTCTGAGTCAGATATTCCAGTGAGACAGGGGCTTCCCCAAAGCGGTGACTCCATCCCCCAGCCCTCATCCCCCACCCCCACCAATGGACCAGTGCTCTCCCACCTGCAAGATCCCTATATAAGCTTCCAGCTCAGCCCATGCAGTCGCTGGTCTCCATTCTGTGAGTCAGCCCGGCAGGCTGCGGACTGCCGCCCCAATAAAGCTTGCTTGAACGTCTGTGTGTGCCCCCTTCTTTGGCGACCTTTCACATCATAGAAATAAAGAACTCCGATTTTTAAGAAGAAATGAATAAGTAGCTGTTCAAAGACAAGGGGACTGCCTTTCCCTGGTTTTGTTTCCACCAGCAACTTACAGAACTAAATCAGACAGCTGTCATAACAGCTCTGCATTGATAGAAGCACATTTTAGGCCCCTGTGCTATTGATTAAGAATCGATTCCAGGGCTGACTTCTTTTTAGTGCTGTTCTATTTTTTGTTGTGTTCTGTTTTGTTTTTCTGAGCCAGGGTCTCGATGTGTATGCTGGCGATCCTCCTGCCTCAGCCTCTGGGTGTGATGGTGCACACCTGTAATCCCAGCACTGTGGGAGGCTGAGTCAGGAGGATCTCAAATTCAAGCCCAGGTCGGGGAATGTAGTGATTTGGAAAGACCCTGTCTCAAAAAAGTGCCAAGGCCCTGGGTTTGATCCCCAGTACCCAAAAAAGGAGGCTTCTCTGCCACGTGGCAGATGTGTTGGGGCCACATCCTGGGTCCCCTCTATCAGGGCTGTGATCTCCAGTGTAAGACCCTCTCGGTGGCAGCGGGTGGCCGGGACAGGCCCCTCCACAGGGCCCACAATGACCGGCGTGCAGGACCCACACCCGCGGGAACAGCACAGCGCCTGGCCCACATGGCCGGGGCCCTGGGCCTCCCCAGGGCCACAGGCTGGGCTGCTCCTCTGCCCCAGACCCTGCGGCCGCCTCCAGCCCCACAAAACTGCGCTGCCCGGCCTCTCCCGAGCCACGAGGCCGCGCGGCTCCCTGCTCAGTGGACGCAGTAGCCGCGGCTGCCCGTCCCTGTCGTCCGCTCTTACCTTGGTCTGCGGGCACTGCGAGCCAGAGGTGGGTGGCACAGAGGGCCGAGGTGCGACCACTTTATAGGTCGGCACGGGGCACGGGGGTGTCCCCGCGGGAGCAAACAGGCGGGTCAGAAGCTGGGAGCTTTGGAGACAGGTGGCCAGGTGCAGGGAGGGGGCTGGGCTGGGGCCCCGAAGGTGCGGTGGTGCAGGGGGGAAGGCCTGCCCCCCCCGCCCCCACTCAGTAAACACTGCTGATTGACACCGGACGGGCCTGAGCCTGAAGCCCAGGCGGCTGCACCACCCACCCGGCCGCCCTGCGCTCGGAGAGCGCCGCTCTGCTTCGGCCTCCTGGCCCCGCCCACCGCTCTCCCCCCGCCTCTTTCCGAGCTGCCCTGAGGACAGCGGGTGGCTTCCTGGGGCAGGGCCAGGCCCACGGGCGCTGTCGGCCGGCCCAGAACCGTGCGATGCCTGGCAGGCCGCCTGCCCCGGCGTCTCTCGGGCGGCCCCGGGAGGTCTGCCCAGGCGCCCCGTCCCGGCTGAGCAGCCCGCGGGCCAGCCGCAGGCCACGGCTCAGACCGGGCGGAACGGCCCGGGGCGGGCTCAGGGCGCACGCAGTCAGCCCGAGTGTGTGCAGAGTGACTTGCAGAGCGCGGCCCAGGCCCGGGACGGCGCCGGCCGAACGCGGCGGAAACGGGAGGGAACGGAGTATGCGATCGCCGGCCGCAGCTGCACGGGGCAGCGGGGGTCGGGTTCAGTCCTGGCCCGGTGCAGACGCGACTTACGGCAGTGTCCCGTCCCGTCCCGTCCCGTCCCGCCCCCACCCCCCACCCCGGCACCTACCCTGTCCCTGCCTGCGGACCCTGAGGACGCCTGCACGGCGGCCCAGCGGGAGCACTGGGAGGAGCCTGGCCACCCCGGCGGGCCAGGGATACCGGCGGCGACCCGGATTCCCGGCCCGGCCCCGGGGTCACGGGAGAGGGAGGCCGGAGGAGGGAGATGGCCAGCCGGGCTTCTAGGCCTCGCCTGGCTCCCAGGACCTGTAATCTCCCTGCTGTGAATCACTATGAGGCTACTAGTTTAAAAATAAACTACTACACATTTCACACACACACACACACACACACACACACACACACGTCTGAATTTTGTCTTCTGGTCCTCTGACCCAGGTTGGAATCCCAGCACTCTGGGAGGCTAAGGCAGGAAGATCGCAACTTGAGCCCAGCCTGGGCAATTTTCTGATTTAGGGAGACCTTGTCTCTTAGGAAATAAGAGAGGAGCTGAGGATGAAGCCCAAGTGAAAGCCTCGGGTTGAAGCCCTGAGGAAGGGAGCGGGGAGGTGACCAGGGCAAGTGCGGGAAACTGCTGCCGGCCGGGCGCTGCGCCCGCTGTAGCTGTGCTAGGGGAGATGGAAGAGCCGGCGGGGGTGGAAAGCCGCTGTGCGAGCGCGGGGAGCTTGGTCGGGCGCAGAGGGCGACTTCAGAGCAGGAGTGATGGCGCCCGGCCTCCGGGCCTCTCTCCTGCGCCGACTGGCTCAGGCCAGTTATTCACAGGCCGCCGAGCCGGGAAGGCTGAGGGGCGCGGGTGCAGCGCCACCTCCAGGCGGCGCAGTTTCCTATTGAAACAAAACTTTGGAGAAAGCTCTTTTGTTTGCTGCGGATTTTTTTTGTTTTTTTGGTACCGGAGTTCGAACTCGGGACCTTGAGCTTGTGAGACAGGCAGCAGAACCATTGAGCTAAATCCCCAGCATGCTTTGATTTTTTGAGACAAGGTGTTGTTATGTGTTCCAGGCTGGCCTTGAACTCACTATGTAGCCCATGCTGGCCTCCAATTCCCAGCAATCCACCTGCCTCAGCCTCCCCAGTGCTGGCATTACAGGTGTGTGCCACCACGCCCAAGTATAAGACTGTTTAAGGATCTCTCAACATCTTTGAGGTGCTGTTTCTGTGGAAAGAATAGATGTGACTAGTTGCATATCCTTTTTCTCCACTTGCTAAATTTAGCTCCTAAGCATGCTTACCAACTCTGATTAACAACACTTATTAATAGAAAGATTTACACACACGGACTCTGCCCCAGGTCGCTAGCCTGGTGGCAAAGCTGTGTGCGCTTGTACAAAGGCGAGGTCTGCTGGGGAAAGAGCATGGAGCCCGAGCATACTGGGTGGGACGGGGCCTTTGTCACTGAGACCTGGGCCCCTAGGTGGTGAAGCCCGCTTCTCACAAATCCCGTTTCTCAAGACTGAGGTTGTGAGTGTTCGAAAGTGGCCAGCTGCCTGCTCTTTCCACTCTGTGTCAACCCACAGACTCAGTTTCCTTGACTATAAAACAAAGGGTTATGCTAGGTTTGGTCCTCTGACCCCAGCACACACCAGAGTCCCTGGAGGGATTGGAAAACCACAGCATGCTGAGCCCTAACCCCAGAGCCTGCTGTTCCAGGGGCCCCAGGGGACCCCAAGAAGCTGAACCACTGGGAGATCGGCCATGCATATGTGATGCTTACTGCAAGGACTCAGCCTGGTGATGGCAGGGACTGCTTCAGTGTCCCGTGTCCATGTCCAGCCCCAAAGGGCAGAGCTCACAGGCAGGAGAAGGTCACTGAGAAAGCCTAGCAGCCAGCCAGAACCCGAGGAGCTACACCTGTGCTGTGGCTTATATCTTGATGTCCCCCCAAAGCCTTGTATCCTCATAGGAAGGGCTTTCCAGAGTGGCTGGATCTAGGCTGGGTGGTTACTAAATGGGTTTAGCATAGTTCTGGGTGTGGACAATGGGAGCCCCATCCTCTTGCGGGTGGCTCCAGTCAATAGGCCTGCAGCCTGGACAGAATAAAAGGGAGACAGGAAAGGCAGGCTTGGTGCCTTCTGCCGACCCTGCCATGGACTATTTTTCCTTTGTGATGTGCCCTGCACCTATGCAATGAAGCCTCTACAAACTCTGAGCTACAATAAACCTTTCCTCTTTTACCTCCTGTCGAGTATTTTGTCTCAGCAATGAGAAAAGTAACCAAGACGGCCTGAAACTCTGCAGAAACGGCCTGGAACAGCATCAGTCTGTCCGCCCTGTGGCCTCTGACCTTCCTGATGTATCCTACCGGGCCTGGAGCTGCTCTGAATGGAGCTCAACTCGAATCCTGGGCCCAGGAGCCAGAGCTGCTAGGGACCCCCACCTGGAAGGCACAGTGACCCCGGCCAGCACTGCTCCTCAGGAGCCGACCCTGAACAGGAAACGCCTGGGAACAGGAACTTGGACCCAGCCCAGCAGGACCAGGGCCACCGCCACCACAGCACATGGCCTGTGCCCTGCAGTCGTGTTGCTTTGTTCTAGACATTTCTGCTCCCAGATTCTGGACCCCAGGGTGAGGGTATTAGCAGGTAGGGCCTTTGGGTCACGAGCGCATCCCCTGCGGGGATGGGGTTAGCACCCTGAAGAGGGGACCCCAGGGCAAGACAGACTCCCTCATCTGCAAGCCAAAGAAGACCCTCAGCCATGTGGCACAAGCTCCTAATCCCAGCACCCAAAGGCTGAGGATGCAGGAGAGTCACAAGCTCAGGCCAGCCCAGGGGTTTTTGGTTTTTTGGGATATTTTTTTGGTTTTGGTTTTGGTTTCTTGAGACAGGGTCTCACTGTGTAGTTCAGGCTGGCCTTAAACTCACTATGTAGCCCTGCCTGGCCTCCAACTCTCAGTGCGCCTCCTGCCTCAGCCTCCCACATGAGCGCATAACAAGTTCAAGGCCAGACTGGACAACATAGCAAGACCCTGTTTTAAAAAACAAAAATAAATAAATAATAAGAAGACTCCCCCCAAGACCCTGACCTCAAGGGCACCGTGACCTGAGACTGCACACCGTGGGGAAGTTTGCCAGCTGAGCCACAGCACAGATGGACCAAACTCACCTAGACAGACGCCTTCCAACAGCCCCTCCCATTCCAGACTGAGTCGTCCGGGCTTGAGCTATTGACTGCACGGGGTTTCCCTGCAGTAGTACATGGTGTTTTTTTAAAACATCTGAATAATTAAAAGAAGCTGCAAAGTGTTATGATCCAGAACCAATGAGGACCAGCTTTAAACACAAAACCTTTCCATCCTAAACAAAAATGCCAGCCAGGTATTGGGGCCCATACCTGTAATCCCAGCATCCTGGGAGGATAAGGAAGGAGGGTTGCAAGTTCAAGCCCAGCCTAAGCAACCCAGTGACTTAATGAGACGCTACGTCAAAATTCAAAAAACAAAACGGGCTGGGGATGCAGCTCAGTGCGAGGGCGCTGGGTTCAACCCCCGGGCCCCCAACAAACAAAAGCGCAAACTGCTTGTAACACCCAAAATGGCAGCCTCTCAGCTTCACCGATCCGAGTTCCAGACGGCCCTGCAAATGCAGCGCCCGGGGAGTGGTCATCCGGGCTCCCAGGAAAGTCCGAAGGTCCCTCTGCAGGCGCCCTGGGCCAGAGCGAGAGGTCTCCGCGCCCCGCGAGCTGGGGCCGTGATTCAGCAGCCCGCTGCTTGCTCCGCGGAGCGCTGCTTTTATTTTCATTACGAAACCAGAAACTAAATTCCAGGAAGGGAGAGAGGCCAAGCTGAGCTAACAAGCAGGGCCAGCGAGAGGTTAACAAAGCGGCGTGTGCAGCCCCCACGGACTGACCTTGCTGCCAAGGTCAGGAGAAGAATTCCAGGATCCGCGCCTCCCAGGCGCTTTGGGACGAATCAGAAGCGGAGCTGGTGAGTTTCCAGCTGGCTCCGTGACACCCCAGGGAGAACACGCCCGCCTCCTCTGCTCCACTCCAGCACCGCGCTGACTCAGCCTACCCGGGTGCTGCTGCAGGGAGCCAGCTGTGGAAGGCTGGGTAGAGAAGAAAGCAGCTGGTTTCGCGAAGATTTCTGGGCCAGGAAGCTGTCTTGTTCCCCTAGACAGAAAGCCTAATCATTTCTCTATTTTTACTTTCTTTCTTTCTTTTTGTTTTTTTCAACTCATGGCAATCCTCCTGCCTCGGCCTCCCAGGTGCTGGGATCACAGGCGTGTGCCACCTCACCTGGCTATTTTTATTTTTTTATTTTGAAAATGTACAAATACATGGAAAACTAAGAAGAACACAATGAACTCTCATCAAGACTGGATCTAGTATAATTATTGCTGACATTAAATTTGTTTCACCTTTTTTCTCTCTCTAAATTATAGGACTTGTAAGCAAAAGGACATTTCAGCCCTTAATAATTCCGTGGTAGGCAGCCTCGGAGATGGCTCATTACGCATCCGCCTCTGGGGGTCCACACCCGAGTGGTCTCCCCATTTTGTACCGCAGACCACAGCTGTGCTACGTGGCCAGCACGGTGCAGCAGAGCCAG